GATGTCTGTTTGTGGCTTAGGTTTAGGCACGTGACATGTTCTCGCGTGTGCAAACAATGAAGCCTATTTGTGTTGGCTGAAGATGGACTCTCAAAAAATATCGCGCACTCTATATCTCTTTGAAATTTATATTGATTTACTTTATTTTTCATTTTCATATTCGAATAATTTAAATTTAACTTTTAGCGATCAAACAAGGAATATGTCCGTTATTTTAATGAAATATATTGAATTAAGAAAACAAATGGTTGGTGTTTTTTTTCTTTTTATCGGCGATCATCGTCTACAGCGCTCAATTCCTCTTTTTATCATACAACCCATTCTCACACATTCACAAAACATTCGTTCTTTTATATACAAAAAAAAAAATAATCACTAGAACCAATTTATATGGCAGAACAACGTTTGCCAAGATATCTAGTATTTCATACATTTTTTTAAATATAAAAATGATTAAATAAAACTGCTACTAAGACTAGTACTACTATATATTTGTTATAAGAGAATTTCTGCTTACTTGTTTGTAGTAATCTGCGAATGTGACATCTTTTTCCTTTTGTTTGAAAGTGGATCTGGGCGACATACCGAAATCTACATCACTCACACGGTAAGTTTTGTTATTGTAATCAGTAATTACTACCATGCCTGTAACAAGGTTTAAGTATTTTTAGTTAAAGTATTGATAATCATTCTACATATTACAATGTACTAATATGTATTACTATGTACTACCTACCAATTACTTCGGCCTTAAATGCGTTCTGATAATCTGATGACTCTTTCACTAATTGAGTCAAAATGTTGTAAATTGTATCAGTGCGCAAAACCTTATGTGCGATTTCAGCACACATCAGTACATCCAGCTCATGCTGACGAATAGAGGTAATGTATCCCGGCCAAATTTCCAAACGGAAATTCTCAATGCGTATCTAGAACGAAAAAAAAATAAATAAAACTATTTGTTAAATAGACTTCAGTAAACAATTACACTAAACTTACTTTAGCTACTGGATCAAAGAAATTTCGATTCAATTGTTGTAGTTTCAAGCCTTCCATAGATCGACGTAAAATCAAGTTGAGTACTTGCATCTGTTGCATGTCAGTCGACTCTACTATGCCAACATGTTTAATTTTAATTTGTACTGTGTTTTCTGCACGATCCTTTGTTAGTATCTCATGGACATCATTTACCATTATACTTTTCAAATTTTGTGTTGAAAATAACAAAGTACCATCAAAAACGTAACCTCCAAACAAATCTTTATGCTGTCCTATCATTCCACGACGTACATGTAACAAATCGACTTCTGGTGCAAAATCAACACGGTACTGATGTATAACCCATTCCGGTGTTTTTAATAGACGAAAATAGTTCGTCTGAACCATAACTGGACGACCAACTGCACCTTGCTTATTTACGCACGACACTGGTCGAGTGTGTTGTATAACTTCAGTTAAAACACGTTTACCCCGCACACCTCCACGTAATTGGTCAATTGCAGCTATAGATATGGACACAAAAACATAAAGAAATAATATAAAATATCACCTAAAGAACAATCATAATTATATATGCATATACCAATAGTTTTTGCCTCAGTGTTATCACGACTTTGACCAACGTTTGAACAGGAAGAACCACCTAAAGGAAAATATTCACATCAACACTAGCCAGATTAAATAATATATTTTATGACATACTCATAATTCCACTAGAAAGGGACTCATCAGACTGATGAGAACGTCCCCAACTTGCTGTTGATGGCAAACCACCAGAACTCTAAAATCAAATGAATACAAATTAATTAAATGTTATAATGTAAATATTTTAATTTTACTATTATTTTTACTTACAGATGATTCAGAGGCAGGATAACAGCCAAGTCCATCACCGCGCCCACGATACGTGCCAGTGCTACGTTCTCCACCACCGCGTGGTCCACTACGTTGGCCACCACCGCCGCCGCGAGGTTGCCAGCCACGGTTGCCGCCACCATCACCACCACCGCGGTTGCCACGATAACCGCCGCCGCCGCCACCATCACCACCGCGGTTGCCACGATAACCGCCGCCACCACCACCATTACCGCCGCCACGTCTACCTCTGTCTCCTCCTCTATTTTCAGAACTTCTTCCGCGTTCTCCTCCACCACCTCTATATTCCGAACCTCTTCCGCGTTGCATTTTAGAGATGTATTAAAACTTTAAAATTAAATTATGTTTTAATGAAATAATTGACAATTATTTTAATATGCATTTATGCAAAAATCAACTCCACAATTTATTGGAATTTTAATTCTTCGTATTTAACTGCAGCTTTGCTTTACTAAATACGACACCAAACACAAAAGCAAAGCGGCTTCCCTTATTGCGTCGCCGATGGCAGCACATTCTGACAATTGTTTGACATTTTACACTTGGCTCTGCCATTTTGAATTCATGTTTTTTTTTACTTATATTTGAAAATTTGTATTAAAAGCATTAATGCATAGTTCAAATGAAAGATAAGCAAAAACCAAAAAAAAAAAAAATATATGTTTACACATACATATACACATGTATATGCCAATGTTTTCTTTATCATATGCAACTGCATGGAATGAAGATCGTTGCATATAAGACCACAAAATAATAACAAAAATCTTTACACAAATTACCATTAAAGTAAATATATAATTTTATATTTAAAATTGAATGCAAAACATGAATTTATACATTTTCTAATTATTCACTTCTACTACCAGTTGCTTCAAAAACTGTTGCTCTTTTTATTCTTTTTTGTGCCACTGTTCCTTACGTGGAAAAAAGGATAGACGGCATGGTTTACTGTTACCCGAGACGACGCTCAGCAAAAACAACAAAAAAAAAAAAGAAAACGTGTTATAATGCACACCATTGCACAATTAGCAAAATTTTAAACAATATTTAATTCCATTTAAAAAATAATTTTTGAAACAGCGCAATTAATTTTTAAAAATTCTGTTCATTTCACAATCATTGTAAAACTAGGAAAGATCCTACATTTTACAAAAGATCTTACACAAATATCACTTAAACGAATTTAATTTGAAATTTTTCTTAAACACTTAACCGCAAATGATAGATTATAATATTTTTAATAAATCTCTGCACAAAAAAATTAATATCTATGATTTTAACTCACCTTAACTAAATGTTTGAAATTGTATGAAGTGATGATCTTCGCGGTTCAGTATGAAAGAAAGCTATGACAGCATTGAATGATTAGCGTCGATTTAGTTAAGGATGGTAAACTATCGATAACAACAAACTGTTGCGTAGTAATTTGCAGCGAAAAATTGTATATATGCCATTCGCTTCAAATAAGATCAATTTGTTGCAAATATTGCCAATAAGTATTTGTTGGCAATCCGTATTTATGCAATAAATTATTTTTATCTTTGTTTACAATTAGATCAGCATTACATTTCGTTAGTATAAATATGAACATAGATATCTTAAAACATATATGCAATAAATTAGTGTAAATATGAAAACATATATATCAAAATATAGATAATAAATAAATATATATATAAACAAAGATTTCTTAAAACATATATGAAATAAATTAGTGTAAATATGAATACATATATGTATCTCAAAATATAGATTATAAATATATATATATATAAACAAAGATATCTTAAAACATGTAAACAATTAATTAAAATTAGTATTAAATAACTTAAATAATAAAGATGTTCAAAAAATTCGTTATTTATCATATGTTTTTATATGAATATATTTCTGGTTTAAAAACACAAGTACTGAATTAAATTTGGCTGTTAATCATAAGCGTTTTCGGTGGCTCGCATGTGCGGCAAAAAACGCATGCTCGCGTATATTCACTAAGCGAGACATTAGCATCATTGTTGCAATCTGTCAAATGTTATGTTTTGGCAAATAACAGATCTTGCATATAAAAACATAATGCAAGCAAATTACATTTTGTATAAAAATAGGTTATATAAAATTGATAATTATATTGAGGTTAATTAAATTGAAATTTCCTAGGTGCTTTTTGCACTGTACTTATGCAAATATTTATTTATTGCACTTATTTTTTAATTTTGGTTTAAAGTTTTCAAATTTATTTATTAAACATCTTATAAAATTTTCACGATGGTAATACCTAATTCACCTAACACCTAATTTTATCTAATTTACCCTATCGAAATTCTCTTGTTAAATATGAACAGTCGCTGCCATACCGACATATTTTACTATTTTCCTCAATTTACCATTAATTTACTCTAACTTGCACACGATCTTAACAATATGTAATAAATTATGTTATTCTATTATGGCCGTGTGCGAGTTCGAATAAATTAAGATAAAGTAAATTGAAATTTCCTAGGGATTTCTTGTACTGTACTTATACAAATATTTATTTATTTATTGATTGCACTTATTTATTTATTTGGTTGAACGTTTACAAATATATTTATTTATTTATTAAACATCAATTTTTCATGATGGTTATTCCTAATTTATCTAATTTTTATCTGATTTACCCCACTCGAAATTTTGATAAATATCAACATTCGCAACCATA